GGCCTACCATTTGAAGTTCGGCATTATCTCTACGGTCAGGATGCAGCCACTCGGATCGGACGGTGCAGGAGCGTTACCGATGTGACGAATTCGGCACTGACGTTAAATATTGCTGCAGAGGATTTGCCAGCTCAGCCCCCCGCCGCGATCGATGTCGCACGAAAGGGCCGACCGTCGAAATTGTACAAACTTAGGAACCTGCAACCGGGCAGAAGGAGAATGCTCGGAGTACGGGGTCGGTCGATAGACTTAGAGACTTGGGATTGAGCCGAAAGGTTATTTCTGTAGTTCCAAGGTGCCCGGAAAACTCGGACCGAGGAGGAGGGTGGATCTGCCGGGGACAACGAGGTGTGAGTGACCGTACTTGGAGGAATGCGCGGGCCTCAGGATGGTGATAGCCTTGGGGTGACAATGTACTCTCCAAGTAACATCAGTGGTGGCCAGACTGGAAGGTGTGATAGTGCCGGTAGTAGCAAGCAAGTCCAGCTGAAGCAAGCCTCTTTCGACCAGATCGCTTCAGGTGAAGTGAGGGTGGACTATCACAGCTGTTTGGAGCGCGTTGCAGTGAAATGCCTGACCTGCTTGCAACAGCTGTGGGTCAAGGTGGACGGCTGTTTGCGGCACACATCTCGTAAAAACCAGGAGCGCAGAGGAGTTTGCAAGGGCTACTTGGTCAGCTCGCAAGTGCCAAAGGGCAAGCAGACAAAACAGGTGGTCTGCCTTAGCTGCATAGATAGGCTGCTCGGCAGTACTGCCGAGAGCGCGGACGGGCGATCCATCCTGTTGAATAGGAGGCAGGATGGTGGCGAGGATGCAGCGATCCTCCAGCGGCGTGGAGAGGACGCATTCTGGACCCAGACCCTCGAGCTGACAGATAAGCTGGTTGCTTTCCTCGTACAACGTGATGAGAGCACGGCCGTCGGCAGAAAGCGGCGGCTCAGCGCAGCGGAGCAGGTCGTTAACAAAGGGGCGGCAAAGGGGATGCGCCCGAGAGAGGGCAGAGTGCCAGGATGCCAGGGAGTTACCGCGGGAGCCTCCGTGAGTGCCTCGGTGCTTTTATTTTCTTGATCAACCATCAGAACAATCCTACTGGCAGGCATGGCGGAATCGACATTGACATTGGATGTACTTTGTAAGGCTCGTGAGAATTGCCTCAGATGCCAGTGCGAAAGGAATCAGCATAAGAGGGGATTCCGGGACTTTCACCTGGTGCTCAGATTGCTCCGAAAAGACCCCAATTGCCAGCTCATGGGCTATCGTCTGCGGACTCTCTTTGATGGATGCGACTTTGATAGACTTGGAAGATTAGTCCTTCAGATGCCCGATGGAGACGAGAAGACACTTATCGATCTGGTCGGTCCTTGCAGGAGGGCACGGAGGGACAACAGCCTGCCCCTGCAACGGACATCAGAGCTCAGGCCGGGCGCTTCCTTGGGCTCGTCGGAGAGGGCGAATGCCGCGTGATGGAACCCGCCGGGGTCGGACGGCCATTGCTCAGGCTCTATGTGTCCGCCTGGGATCACAACGGTTGTGGCAGGGCAAAGCGACTAGGGAAGCCCGACAAGACCTCTGCGCTCCTCGAGCAGGTCTGGTGGGACACGCGAGGCCAGCTCAACTGCACGTGCGATCGAGGGCGCCTCACCGAACACGCGCCGTGCGTCCACAAGCTCACCATGGCGGCCCTCAGCGAGGGATGGTCGGCTGGGGCCGATCTGCCTACGGTGCAGGAGCTGAAGCGAGGCGTGAGGGTCGAGAGATTGGCCTCAGACGAGAGGGGGGACTACCTCGCCGTGTTGGACAACCCTTCCGGTGCGTTGAGCCCCCAGCGGCGGATGTTGTTTTGCTCCACGGGGGGCGCTTGGTATTGCGAGGGCAAGCGAGACGGTTGCCCTTCGTTGACCGATTGCTCGCACGTCAGCGCAGCCAGGTTTGCTCTCGAGAAGGGGCAGCTTTCCTCGACACAGAGTCTAGAGCTAGCACCAGAGACGCTCGCAAGGGCCGCGCAGTGGCTCGAGCGCTGGGACAGTACCCCTCCTCGGATTGGGGTGCCCACGGCGGGCGCAACTTCTGGGAGGTTGCGAGCATCCGTCCCGGATGAGGAGCGAGGCGAGGCTGAGCTGACGAAGGAGCAACGGTACCTCATGGGGTTGCTCGCAAAGCAGCCGCACGAGGGAGCGGCCTGTGCCGGGAGCTCGTGCTTCTGCAAGAGGCACGCCTACCTCTTCGGTGAGGCGCGGCCGCCATCTGAAGCAGAGGCAGGGGGAGGAGAGAGGATTACTCAGTCAGGAACGCACGCGTCGAGGGATGCCTCAGCGGGGAGTCCGCCTCGCAAGCGCTCGCGGAGGTCGAAAGCTTTTTGGGAGGCGAAAGCAAAGGCGCAAGTGCCGGCGCTTCGCAGCCGACCTCCGGAGAGGCGCGCGCCGGCCGCAGACGCTCGTGGCAAGGATGCAATCCACGGGTGGGTAGCCGCCTGCTCGGGCTGCACGTTGGCCTCGGTGGCTGCAGTGGGTGGGTGCAGCCATGGGGAGGAGGAGCGCATCACGTCTCCTGTGATGCTCATTGGCACCGAGGCGGTCCAGCTCACGAAACCGAAGCTGGCAAGGTTGAGCGACGCGACGAACTTCCATGATCCTTGGTTGACGGCATTTGGAGAGCCCCCGGTCCGGGTCAGCAAGCTCCGGGATTGGCACTTTCAGAAGCTTTCCGACCTGGGCCTGCTGAGCGCGCCCTGTCCAATAGAAGCCCCTCCGTGCGGCGGCACGTGGAAGGAGGTATGGGTCTCGAGAGGCTTCCGTCACAGCCTCGCAATGGAGCCAGAAGGTTCGGGTGCGGATCTACCACTGCACGTGTCTCGACCAGGCCCACACGATCCATTTCGACGGAGAGCACCTCGGCCTGTACACCTGGAACCGGCAGACCCTCTTCGTTCAGGAGAGCCTCCAGCTCATCCTCAGAGGCATGCAGAAGGGCCATTCCTTCAAGGCGGAGCTATCCAGAGACCAGGCCGCCTTCGAGAGGTCCCCGGGGGCGGAGGTCCTGAACGAGGAGACGTGGCGCAGGGCGAGTCTCGACTTCTTCAAGCTGGTCGGCCTCGGTATCCGAGACTGCTGCACGCTGTGCGGGCCCCACCCTAAGGTGAGCGCATCGTGCAGTACGGTCGTCTCAAGGCCGCAACTTGTTTGGGAGATTCGTAAATAGCAAGGGGGGCTGGGCTGCGGAACACATTGACAGATCTTTGTTCTTTGTGAAAGAAGGTGTTTCCAGAATTGCAAGTGGGTGCAATTGAAGTCCGATGTACACGTATAATCTGGGCAAGTTTGGATTGCAACCGCTTCGGTGCGCACACGTACGCGTAGGTGCTTCTGTGCGACGGGATTGTCGGACTGGCAAACTCGGACGGCGGGAAGAAACCGGGCGGCCTCGGCAGCGCGACCCTCGACACGCGGCGCACCTTCCTGCATCCGAGCAGGTTCGCGAACGGAGAGCTGCTGGAGACGAGGTCGATCTCGGGCCGCGACTTCTGCGCAGCGGGCCTCGAGGGCGGCGGCATGAAGCGGAAGCTCATCCTCCAGCCTGAGCTGCGAGAGGCGATTGCACGACTCTCTCAGCACCGCCCGAAGGACGAGAAGCTCGGGCGGAGGCTCTCAAAAAAGGAGTTCGCGAACCTGCTGAGCGCTCTGTCGAGCGATCCCTGTACCGTCAAAGGCTTCGGCCCCGGCGAGGCAGAGGGGGCGCTGCCGGAGGACGGCAGAAGGCGGATGCTAATTGAGCAGCGTACGATGGTGAGGGACAGGAACCTTGCGCTGCTGGAGCTCCTGAAGGGCATACAAAGGGACTTCGAACGGCGTGGAATGAATCCAAAAATTTGGGAGAGCTGGATATGCGAATGGACGGAACTTCTCTACTCCCTGGGCGCCCACGACAGCGACGAGGACCTCATCGGAGGGGATGCGCTACATGTGGTCCGTAAGCTTCTCCTTGGCAGCGAAGCCTCACTGGAGGACCGACGGTCGTTGGGGAGATCGGCACCAATCTTGAGGAGGGTCCTGGATGCCTACGGCGGGCTGACCTTCCCCGCCTTCTTCATGGCGGTCCTCCATCAGCTTTACTTGCTCACCTTGCTTGCACGAGGGTTGACGGGGTTCGAGGCGGAGGGCCGACGAGGTTGGGTCTACGACGCGATCGAGCCATTCGACAGGGCTGTTTGGCTACTCGCGGAGGAGAGGGTACGGCCGTTAGATATTGACGAGCGCAGGCGACTAGAGGAGGCACGTGCCTCGGCGAACGCGCTGCTCCCGGGCGTGGAGCAATTGGAACCGAGCCCCCAGCAGTGGGGCTCAATGGGAGGGCGGGAGAGGGCTCTGCTCTTTGAGCGGCTGGGACGAGACGAGGACGGCGTCGAGCTATCCGAGCTTCCCGCTGGGCATAGCTTCAGCGCCGAGCAGGACGCGCTGGCGCGCTACGATTTGCCGGGGTGGACGCAGTGGCGCGGCTTGCCACATTTCAGCAGCTTCGAGCATCCAAACGGGCTCAGCAAAGGGGCTGAGGAGTTCAAGTGTGCTACGGGGAAATCGGTGACAGAGTGGGATTTCGAGAATGTGCCCGGCCTGGTCAAGGGTGGCGGAAAGGCGGGCAAGAAGGGGGCGGTTGCAAAGCGTCCCAATCGGAGCCGGGGCATGTTCGTGTTTTGCTGTCCGCACCGGTTGATTTATGGGTTTCATGTCATGCTGAGGGGCGAGTCTCCAAGGGATCCGTTCACCGTGCTGTTCACGCGGCTGAAGCGAGAGGACTTGCCCGAAACCCTGTGTTACGACAACGCCTGCGCCTTGCGCAACTACTGTATGCGCCGGGCCCCGGCCTTCTTCGCCAACGTTCGATTCGTCGTTGACAGGTGAGCGGCTGCCTTCCTTTGCTTTTTGCAACGGGTGCATTGGCTCTTGAGTCGAATGTGTACATTCAAGCCTATGTGTGGCAAACGAACGCGCCATGTAAGTGCTAGCTCAATCTCGATTGAGTGCTGATGTACACATGTCTTGTTTTACAAATTTCACTACTCGAAGGCGGGGGCCGAGGTGCATAAGTGTGGGCCCAGCAACTCCGTGGACTCCTACGACGCGCTACGCTCGGTCAACACAAGCGCGGTGGAATCGGTCAACAGCTTCCTGAAAGGCTTCCGATCGCTGGGGTGGTACAGTAGCCTGGAAAGCTTCATGGTTATCCTTCCGCTCCTTCTGGACGCGTACAATGCGAGATTAAAGCGCGTTGACGATGCCAAGCTTTGCGTTGCCATTGCAGCGGGGGCATGGACGGCTGCAATCACGAGGGCGTTGTTGCACGGCTAGTTGGGCGCGCCAAATAGCCTCGTTTGTCGGTTGATACGGACCTGATACAAAAAACAGAGACTGTATCACTGTATCACCTTTTTCACTTGAATGAAAAAGGTGGACATTCGGTTCTCTGTAGACGCCGTTTATTGCTCAAGCGGTTGAACACTATGCAATGTTCAGGACTCGTGACCTGAATGTCCATGTTCGCTGCGCAAATCGCAAAAAAGAGGGTGATACGCTTGATACGCCTGATACACTTTTCGTATAGCAGAGCATTATATATACAAATAAACAAACATTTTTTTAAAAAAATATATGATATACATTGTATTGTATCTTGTATCAAATGTATCACCCCTAAATGCATCATCTATGCGTTGTCTACGCCCCTCCCGCCCCTGCTGGCCAGGACTGCATTTTTGCGGCCTTGAAATTGGCCCTGAAGGCCGTGACATCAGCGCCGTTCGGGTGCTGATACCCGCTTTTTGGGAAGCCCGAATGTTTGTATCAAATGTATCACTCACCTTCTCAGTCATCACCCGCCGATTCCTCTTGCATTTCCTTCTCGGTCTTGAGACGGATTCCGAAAAAGCCTCCTCTCCTCCCGGATCCGTCTAGCATCCGGATCATCCTATTCTTTTTGCCATCTTGTGGCGTGCTCGTAAAGCCCTTAATGTTCATCGCTCTCGCCAAGCTGTCCCCTGCTAAGCTCGTGTCGTGCCCACCCGCACACAGGAACTCGAAGAATCGGTCCACGAAGTCGACCTTCGTGACGCTTAACGAGACGCCTGTCACGCACGATTCGTCGATGGAACATTGAAGCTTGTCGTTCTCCGCTGCATACTCCCGTGCCGCAGCACGGCATCCCTCCGGAATGGGAGAGAGAACCTTCGATTCCGGAGATTGCTCTTTCTTCGCATAGTACTTCATTGCGCCCTCCACGCAAAAGTCCAGTACATCCGCCGCTCCTTCGGCCGATTCAAAGTACGACTTGAGCGTCAGGTCCATTGGTTTGTGTCTCTTGTTGTTCCGATCCAGTTCGTCCGGTGACTTGAATATAAAATCGAACATGAGCAGCACGATCCTGCGGACCAACGCGGCATCATCGCTCGGGAAATGCGGCCTGAAATTCGTGAAGAGGCATAGCTTGTACCGAGGAATGTAAACCTGCGGTTTGCAGAAAAGCTCTCGCGCTTCGATAGGATTGCCAGAGGCCGCTTCTTTCAGAAACGATCCGTTCAGATGATCATCCTTCTCTGATTCGTCATTTGTAACGAAGCGTTTCGACTTGATGCACATCAGATGGGACGAAGCTGCTGACGCGTTTGCCTTGAAAGTGGGCTTGATAAAGATCGCCTTGTTACCGGCCGTGCTGTAGCTTCCGAACGCCCGACGTATTGCAGTTGCGAGCACGCTCTTCCCGTTTGAACCCTCCCCGTTCATGATAATAATTAGCTCCTCGCTCGTCTCGCCAGTTAGGCAATATCCCAAAAATATCTGAAGCCAATCAATGTACTCCGGTGGGAGGACGTCCATCGAGAAAGTGCGGAAGCGGGCCGTTGAGCTCTTCGAAGCGCCCTTAATGTATGTGCAGGTAGTATTGTTGCATAGATCTTGCGGGTGATGCGGCGAGAGGTCGCCTGTTCGGAGGTCGATCACTCCGTTCGGAGCATTGGCGACATGGTTGTCTTGATCGAATAGGTCCATTAGATCTTCGACGTAGAGCTCGTTGACAATGGCTGGCAAGCACTTTCGCACATCAGCAATGTCTTGCACGTTAATCTTGCCGAAGCTTGGTAAGCTCTGATCTCTTTGCTTGAGACATGCCTGTTCGGCGAGCTTGGTCAGTTCCGCTTGCTGTTTAGAGATGGTCCGAGTATTCTCCTCTGAGATTCCTTAAAGATCGGAGTGCTGCGAGCGCAGGTTTGCCAAGTACCTCTCCCTTTTTCCCTTGTACCATAGAAGGAGGCAGCCCATCTGAGAGGTGAAGGCGCTTTCGACCAGATTTGAGACGTCTTGCGCCCACGAAGCACCGTTCCACACGTAGAAGTACGATGTATCCTTCTTCTTCTCCGACTTGTCTTTCGTGGCGAGAATCCTCCCTTCGATCGCATAGATGTAGGCAAACAGTCGCCCCCAGATTGAAATATGCTTGAGGCGCGGCGTGCTCGGCCACGATCTTGAGGAGGAGCTGTTGCACCTCTTCGTTCCCTCGAGTGTATTGCGTGATGGCTTGCATATCGTCGAAGTGGTGGACCGGCTGCGTGGTCGCGTCTTGCAGCGCAGCTTTCAGGCTTAGCACACCGAGCTTCTTCGGAGGTCTATGGGAGCAATCCTGGCCATGGCAGCGATAGTACACGTTGCGCCCGCGCTTCAGCAGATTAAAGTTATTGCTCCCAGTGTGACGATGCCCGAGGTAGCACGTCCTCGGCCCTCTCGTCCTGTAGCAGAAGTACGTTCCGTATAGGCCATGCGGCAACGTGCTCGCGTACGTGTTCGAAGAATCACCGGCCTTTTTTCTCAGCATGTTGGAGAGCTCGGTCCTCAGGAGGGTCGTGTCGTTCGACGGTCTGTTAAAAGCTGATGGTTGGTCATCATTGCGGTTAGTTGGATCCACCTGATTAGCCAAAGCGCATACTGCCGGGATCTCGGGGCTACCCACTGATTGGATCTCACTGGTGGAGCCGCTATCACCGCCATTATTAACCAATGTGCATAACCATCTGGGCATTTCGGAGCAAGTTTCATAGCTTGGTGGACCGTTTAGCCACTCGTAGCTTAGAAGCTTCCCCTGACCGTCCCTGTAGCATGCCGGGTCAGCATATACGCAACCTCCAACGGAGCGACCATCAATACCATACGGGAGGTCGCCGCCCGATTTCAAGCCTGCAAAGTTCGACTTGCGAATGAGGCCGGGACTGTTGCTTTTAAAGTACAGGTGAAATCCATTTGACCCGGTCTTTGCCCTCAGTGTCGACGGTTCACCATGAGTGGCAACCAAGCGGTTCCAAAGCTCCGTCCCTGGAAGCTTCTTTTTGGTGCTTGAATTGTCGACATCTATAACCATCAGAGCGCTTGGGCCCGTAAGAATAGCAAGCCCGTTTGCATCCGGCACCTCTAAGAGGGCAGTGGCAATGGACTTTTGCCAAGAGTCTCGGTCCTTGATGTGCCCCCACCTGCTGGGAAAGACGGCGTCCTTCTTCCCCTTACCCTCATTACCCATCGAATCCCAAAACATGCGCACTGGAATAGCATATAGACCCTTGTCTGCGAGGTTCATGATTGCCTCCTTGATGTTCGGCGGCCCTGGGGCCTTGATCGGGTTGGGGGTCGAGGCCCTAGGACCGACGACATTGGATGCGTGCTCAAAGCCTGATGCAGCCATTCTTTCTACACTCATCACAAGGAAAAAATCGAACCGTTCTGAACGCGGCCACATTTTATGCTGCGGTCGAATATCCCG